GTTAGTTATTTTCACTGTGATGCTTTTGTTACATTTTTTATTTCTACATATTCTGTTGTGTGGATATACCATGATTTGTTTATTCATTAGCCAATTTGCTAGACATTTGGGTTGTGTGTACCTTTTGGCTATTGTGAATAGTGATGTTACCAATATTTGTGGTGATGGCGGTTGAACTCAAGAGCTTTATACACATTAAGCAAGTGCTCTACCACTGAACTACATCCCCAGCTTTCACTGTGACAATCTCAGGACTCAAACTGGTAGACTTCAGCCTCTCAAGCAGCAGTGCCCAGCCATTACAGTCTGCTGCCCTATGGTCTAGTGGCTGTGCCCTTACACATTTACTGCCTGCAGTGGGTGAGAATTTCAGCAGCTGACTACTGATGATGGTATACTGATCAGATGCTGGGTGCCCCTTGGGGATGTTAGAATAGAAGGGTTGTTTTTCTATGAAATCACTTGCATTCCATGACTGTTTGACCCTGCGGCTTTTCTTGAGGCAAAGTGGCCTCTGTGGATCCATTTGTAGCCTCATTAAACTCTGAAAATTCCAGAGGCTTTCATGAGTCATACCTATTTTATTTGCAATGGTTAAGAAGTTAAGAATATTCCTATAATTAAAAAAAAATTCTATATCGTTTCTAATGTTTTTATCTATTTTTTATTCTCTTTTTAAAGTTAATATTAGGGAATTGTTTCTAGTAGATCCCTAAACTAATTTTTGGTAGATCTTGGTGATCACATTCTCAGCTAGCTCCTGGGTGTGGAACCTGGTCCCTGGTCTTTTTTTTTTTTGTTTGTTTTTGGTGCCGAGGACTGAACCCAGGGCTTCCAGTGTGCTGGGCAAGCATTCTACTGCTGAGCCAAATCCCCAGCCCTGATTAGTCATATTCTTTGTTCCTTACCTGTTTATAGTTTCATGAACAATTGTGAGGCAATGTGGGAAGCCAAACTAGATGCTAAATCCATTTTTATTTTTATTTATTTATTTATTTATTTTTTGGTGGTAGCAGGAATCGAACTGAGGACCTTGCTAGGCAGGCGCTTGCACCACTGAGCTATATCCCCCGCCCCTGCTAAATCCAAAGACAGTATGTAGCAGTTCTTTTTACCCTCCCTAGCTCTGTAGCTTGTGTAGCAACTGGAATTTAGTCTTTGGGCATTGAAAAACCATTAAACCAGTTAGATCCCTAACTGGGTATGATAAGACACTCCTATGGGTCCACCCCTGGGGGAGGCTGAGGTAGAAGAATCAAAAGCTCATCAGCCCAGGAAATTTAGCAAGACCCTATCCTAAAATAAAAATTTTAAAATGGGTTGGGGGTTGGTGCTTGTATAGAATTTGAGGTCATAGGTTTAATTTCCAAGAGAGAAAGAATTTGCTTACTACTTTTCTTCCTTCCTTTTGTCCCAGGAATCAAATTTAGGATTTGGACTTGCCAGGCAGGTGTTGTGCCGCTCAGTATATCCCCATCCTGCGAATGAATATATGACTATGATTCCACTGCTTAGGGGTTTTCATTTTCTGGCCTGTCTGAGGTTCCTCGAGAGGAGGCTGATCTGCCTCTTGTTAGTGGCTTGGGAAGCTGATATTTCATTTTCTCACAGGGATAAGCTTAGTGAGCGACTCTAGAACAGCAGCTCTTTTTTGCCCTTTCAAGTTAAATAACACAACAAGGGCAAATTTTAAATTTTATTAAAAGGTTAAGCATAATTGAAACATAAGAATTGCAGAATGGAAATTGCTTCATTACAAAGAATGCATTGATAATTTTTTTGTCCCATTTTACTAAAAACCAAAACACTGCGGGTTAGCACTCAATGGTTTGGTTACAAACTGCAGAGATTCCAATCTTCTTTTCTCCCTTTTACGGAACAGAGAACTAGAACCTGAAAAGGAGACCAAGGACTTGGAGTCACTCTCCAAGCACTTAAGTGGCAGAGAATCAGGCCCTGTCTCACTGCAGCTGCAGGCTAATCTTTTGTGTCATTGTTTCTCTCATTCCACCTCATTTTCTAGGAGTTTTCTCTGTAGTAAGACCTGGCTCTAGCTCCTGTATCCAGGATGATGGTGATTCTCTGAGGAGCAGACTTGTGGACTGGCAGAGTTGGGCGCAGTGGGGAAGACAGCAAGTGCACATCCTGTCTAAGTAATGGACATCCGGCAGTCCTGGGAAGAGGAGCTGGGAGACCCTTGCTGGGCCTTTTAGTCTCCACCTGCATCCCCACGTAGAGATTGCATGAAGGACTCTACATAGAGATTTCATGAAGGACTGCTTTCTAATTTTTCTTTTTCTCTGGTTTTCTTTCTTTTTTAAAAAAATGTTTTTCGTACAAGGTCTACAGAATCTCACTACACAGATTGGACTCGTAGTGATTCTCTTGTTTTCAATCTCACAAGTGCTGGGATTACAGGAGTGTGCCACCATGCCCATTCTCCCATTGGATCACATTCTCAGCTAGCTCCTGGGTGTGGAACCTGGTCCCTGCAACTGCCTAAGTAGGCGCTTTAATCTGTTAAACTCTGGCCAGCCTCTGGTTTTCTTAAATTAGGGTCTTATTCAGGCTAGCCTTAAACTCAGTATGTAGCCCAGGCTGGCCTCAAACCCTTGCCATCCTACTCCTTCAGTCTCTTGAGTGCTGGGATTACAGGCATGTGTCACTGTGTCCTGTATTTTAATTTTTCATTGAAGATGGTAGTGGGTGATAGAGACACCTGGAAAGAGACATTTTTGGCTTGGTTGAATACACATAGGGAATCCTGAACAGATAATTGCATTGTTAGCATTGCTCTGATAACAAAAGCAGTTTTACACTTTTACAAAAAATTTAGCTTGTTTCTAAAGCCTGGCCCATGAGAAGCATTTTGTTACTTTTTTGTTTTTTATTGTATGTTTTGTTTTTTGAAATAGGAGGGGCAGGGAGATGGCTCAGTAGAATAAGCGCTTCCCTGGCAAGCACAAGGGCCTGCATTCAATCCCTGTTTCTGAAAAAAAAAAAAAAAAAAAAAAAAAATAGAGATAGGGAGATAGGGCCATGCTGCGTAGCTAAGACTGGCCTTTAAGTGCAGGCAGTCCTTCTGCTTCAATCTCCAGAGTGTGAGGTCACAGGCATGTGCTACCATGCCTGGCCTCACAGTTTAATAGTTAACAGTATCTGCCACAGGTTTTGTTACAGGCAAAATGACCATGAGTCAATAGTTTTCCTTTGATATTGTTTATCAGGAGGGCTTTTGGTGGGCTAGGGGTGTTTCAGTGATAGAGCATTTGCCTGCCATATGCTTCCTGGGTTTGGGTCTGTGGGGTGGTAGGGGTCTTCTGTAGAACAGTGAGAACCTGTCTGAATAGAACTACACAAAGGGCCTCTCTTCCCAGTCATCTCAGAGCTCCATCTTCTGGAGAGAGTGTAGAATTGCTAGAATGTGTTCATCTTTCTGATCCTATTGCCTGTGTACTTTGGGACTCAGTACATGTTTTCCTGAGGACTTCTCAGGTGACAGGAAGGTAGTGTCGGGTTAGAAATCAGGACTATTGGGTTTCTATTCTTTTCATATAGGAAATCTTAATGATTCCTAGTCTTTGAGTCCAATTGGGATGCACAGTTTTTCTCTAAAAGGAAAAGATTTAATTCCATCTTAAACTCATTTTAAAGAGGCTACTGTAGAAAATACAAATTTGTGGTGAAAGCACATGCCTTGAGACAAGCTGAATGTTCCATGTGCAGAGTGGGAATGCTGTACCGTGGCAGAAATGCCATGGGCTCTACTGGCACTTGAATGGAGCATCACATATGATTTTTTTTTTTTTTTTTCGGAACCAGCAATTGAACTCAGGCCCTTGCACTTGCCAGGGATGCGCTTATTCTACTGAGCCATCTCCCTGGCCCCTATGAATGGAGCATCAAACAGTTTGCAGTGGAGGGCTCACTTGGGAGTTGTCACTGACTGGCTGTGGCCCTGGATATCTTTCCTAATCTCCTCTAATCAACTTCATTGTTTGCAACAGGAATAGTAATAGCTAACACTGTTATCATAGGACCAATAAGTTCCTGTAATGAGCCTGATACATAGCAGGTACTTGGAGTCATGGGCACTCCCATAAGACCCCTGTACTACCAGATACTGTAGTTCAAGTTCTAAGCAGTGTGATAGTAGAGACTATATGTCTGTTGATTGTATGGACAGAAAACAGGACCAATTTGACATTCCCTGAGACAATTGACAAGGCATATAGAGAAGTGTGCTTTCTCAACATCCAGTTGTGTGGCCGTGGATGCAGAATGAAATCTAGAACCCTCCTTCTGTGCCGGATAAGATCCTAAATGCCCCTAAAGTGCAACTTTGGTTTGTGATCAGGGTAGAGCAGATAAAAATAATCTGTGACCTAGAACACTACGTATCTTTGCAAATGGAGTTAGCCAGCCTTGATCAGGTGTTTTTAGATACAGACGTTAATCATTAAAGCTGATCCAAGTCTTGCTAATAAGGTTAATGGGGCTTGTCTTTGGCAATGGGCAGAGGTGGTGTGTGGGCACCATGAATGCGTAAATCTTTCTAGATGATGCATACAGTGGTTTTCCCTGTATTTAAATGCACTTTATAAAAGTATAATTAATGAAAGTTTGGCACCATTTACCTAAGACTCAACAGTGTTACTAATTGGTAAGATTTAATCTGATTATTATGTTTGAAATCGTCATTTTACCCCTTTGTGGGTTTGTGTTTTGCAGTGCTGTGGCGGGAGCTGTTTAAGAGCCCCTGGAGCCTAGTTTCTGCCTGTACACTCACTACCTCTTTCCCTCCTTTCCTGGTTCCACCCCCTCAAAGGCTGTTTGTCTTCAGGAAGAGGTGGGGCTTGCGTGGGCAGTGAGGGTGGAGCCCTACGTGAGCTGTGGCTGATGTCTTTCTCTTGGAGGGGAAGGGCCAGTGGCTATAAGACTGGGCGTTTGGTTCCCAGGCTTCCTCCCAACCCACATCTGGTTGTGTTTGCTTCTGGTAGGACCTGGACTGGCAAGCTGAGGAGTGGAGCGAACACGGCCACAGACAGACGGAGGACGCGCTGGCCACTGGACCCCGCTCCCTCCCCTTTCTCCCTGCCTCCTGTGCTAGAGGATGAGCCCAGCCTTTAGGGCTATGGACGTGGAGCCCCATGCCCAGGGCATCCTGCTGGAGCCCTTTGTCCACCAAGTTGGGGGTCATTCGTGTGTCCTCCATTTCAACGAGACAACTCTTTGCAAGCCTTTAGTCCCAAGGGAGCATCAGTTCTACGAGACTTTACCAGCTGAGATGCGAAAATTCACTCCTCAGTACAAAGGTGAGCCCCCAGCTCATAGAAGGATTGCCAGTCTGGTGAGCTGTGAGGGATTGTGGCCATGGAAGGCCCTGGCAGCCATCCTGAGAACCCTCACCCCTCCCATGCACTCTGTTTTCCCTCTTCCTCCTCTTGGCCCTCAGCCCAGCACCTTACACCCTCAGTTTTCAAGTCCTGGTAAGATTGCTTAATTTTGTTTGTTCTGTGGATTTGTTTTGAGTATTTTTGGTGGAAGCATAGTTGTGTTTTATGTTCAGGTGTCTCTTGATCCCAGTAACCCATGTCCCCCATGGGCTGGAGTGGGAAAAGTGGGGAGGACTTTACCCAGAATTGTTGCTGCCTTCTTTCTGACCTTCAGGAAACCAGAAGCCTGGTTGATTAGGTAGGCTGGGAGCAAGATTGAGTCAGATGGAATGCAGGAGTGGGAGTACTGTGCTGATTAGCTGCAGCTCCTAGCTGTTACAGAATGTCCCCAAAATTGCTTTGTGAAGTCAACCCTTTGATGCACATGGTGACTTTTTCTTCCTTTTTATATTTTTGGGAGAACATCAGTAGCCACCAACATGGTGTGGTCTTTCATGGGGAGAGGGGGTATCTTTTGTAGCTCAGTGAAGAACTCATTAAATTAATTTTCATTGTGTATTACTGGCTATACTAAAGACTCCACAACAAGTTAGATTCTTCTGGGACTGTAGAAGCAGTTTTAAAAGACATACTGGGAGCCAATCTGTACACTGAAATGCATGTGTGTTGTGGTGGGGGTGGAGGATTTGGGGGCCCTCACTTGGTCCTTCTCTGTTGTTTTTTCCAGGACAAAGCCAAAGTTCCTTTGTTAGCTGGCCACCCCTGTCCCTTTTTATCTCTTGGTCCTTTCCCCACTGGCCACAGGGGAGTGTGGTCCCCTCAGTTCCCTACCCTGGCTTCTCTGCACCCAGAGCTGGGGCCACTTCAGAAGTGTCGTCTCTCTGAGCACGCATTCCCCTGCAGCAAGCAAGCGGGCGGGCAGAAGGACTGAGGAGATTGAGTGATCCTGGGGCTGAGAGGCCTGGCAGGAAAGGTGTTCAGCCGGTCGGTTGTAAGGCGCTCGTCGGCACCTGCTGAAATGTTCCCACCAACAGCCCCTCCTCAAAGACTATAATCACACATGGCAGGTCCTAGAGACTCAAGCGGGAGAGCTGCTTTCAAGGCCAGCCTGTGTCTGCGCTCCCTGCCCAGCCCTATCTGCCCGTGTTCATTTTGTTCTTTTGTAACTCAAATCTGCAAAAACCAATAAAAGCGTAACTGAGAAATATAAAAGGCTTGGGACACCCACCCGTTTGGGTGTACTACAGGAAGCCTTTGCCAGGATGTCTGTTGTGCTGTGTGGTTTGTTTTGTTTGCCCCTTTATTTTGCTTTGCTTACCTAGTCGTAATCAGGCTGTGCTTTAGAGTCAGCCATCAGGGCTCCAGAGTTTCTCTTTGGGTCATTCAAAATCCCCACAGAACGTACAGAGAATGTTTTTGCATTTCTCTTAGGATTAAAAGAATTACACAAAAATTAATAAACATTTTCAATAATGGAAAAATGTGTCTTGTAATTCTTTGGCTCTTGTTAATTAGAGAGGAAGACTCTCAGCTTTGTTTGCTCCCTAATTGCTTGTCTTGTATGGTGTCATTTTTTTCTAGCTGTTTTGATATTTGTTAGGTTTGCAGATGAGTTTGGGGCCTCTGGCAACCTAGAGACTAAGGAACAGGGTAAGAAAAAAACAAATGTTCCAATCATGTTATTTAGAACGCATTTTCCTGTGGAATTAAAAGTCCTTTCTGCTCCTCACCCCCTTTGCAGGTGTCGTATCTGTGCGGTTTGAAGAAGATGAAGACAGGAACTTGTGTTTAGTAGCGTATCCATTAAAAGGGGACCATGGAACTGTGGACATTGTAGACAATTCTGACTGTGAACCAAAAAGTAAGCTGCTAAGGTGGACAAATAAAAAACATCATGTCCTAGAAACGGAAAAAAACTCCAAGGACTGGGTGCGTCAGCACCGGAAAGAGGAGAAGATGAAGAGGTGGGTGTAGAAAATAAAGAGGTTTGGTTCTATGAGAGCAGAAGTGTTGAGGATCTTCATTATAGCCAGGTTCTTTGGTAAACTTACCAGTGCCTTGTCATTCAGTGACTAGTCCCACATGGCCTGCCCAGCGTTGCTAATCAACTCTGAGTTAAGACATGCCATTTTAGGTTGGGTGTAGTGGTGTACTCCTGTAACTCAAGCACTTGGCAGGCTGAGGCAATAAGATCACTGAGTTCAAGGCTAGACTAAACTATATAGCAAGACCCTGTCTCAAAAAGCAACGGCAAAAAAAGACATGCCATTATAGGTAAACACCTCAAGTGGAGCTATGAAAGAAACTCTTTCCACTCCTTTCTGCAGTTGCTCTTTGCCATCCCGTCCTGTGCCCTACAGATGTGATGAGAACCATCCTTCTACTTTAGGTTGCTCATCAGTTATGGAGGACATCTCTGAAGCTTGATCCAGGGGCAGGACCGTCCAAGTTCCATGCCTTAGCAGAGCTTGTGAAGATTAAAAAAAAATTAGCTGGGTGTGGTTGGGCACACTGATAGTCCCAGCACTCTGGGAGGCTAAAGCAGGAGAACTGAAAACCCATCCTGGGCACTGTACAGATTTAGCAAGATCTTGTCTTAAACTAAAAAAAAAGTGGCTAGGGATGTAGCTCAGAAGGCTGAGTTCAGCACTCAGTACAGCTAAATAAGTATATAATATGACTTAAGTCATATTCAATTATTTTTTTCTCAGTAATTATTCCTGTGAAATTCAATTATGATTTTTCCAGTCCTCCAGTATTTTGAGTCAAGGGAATCTGTGTACTGGATACCAAGGTTTAGTATAACCTGGAGAAAGAGACTGGAGGCTGCCTACTTTGGTAGAATGCAGAGTCTGCTCTTGCATTTTAGGTTCTCTTTGTACTTTTTTTGTTTTTTTTCCTTCTAACTTTCTGCAAAGCTTTATTCCAGAGGGACTCAGTCCTTCTTGGCAGTTGCTTTCTTCATGGTGGCCAGCATGTTGCTCAGCTCCTCACGCTTCCTCTTGGCGCAGATGTGCATCCCCACCCTTTTCTTGATGAACTTGAGGGTGTGCTTGTCCTTGGAGACCTTGAGCAGCTCCATGGCATGCTCATAGGGGACAAAGCCGCACACACCTCCTGGATCATGTCCCACACGAACTTGGTGTGTTTGGTGAGATGTCCGCGACAGCGGCTGTGCCTCAGTTTGCTCACATTCTTAGTCATCTTGTGGCCCTTGCTAAGGCCTACTCCCATGGGATAGCGGAGGGCCATGGCTACTCTTCTTCAATGGTTGCTGTGGCAGAAGGCTCCTTGCATTTTTTTTTTTTAAAGTCCACTTTCTTGAGGAATTCGTATAATGAAATATACCCATTTGAAATGCTTAATGAGTTTGGGTGAGATGTATATTGTGACCACTGCCATATTAAAATATACCATCTGGGGCTAGGGAGATGGCTCAGTGGAATAAGTGCTTCCCTGGCAAGCACAAGGGTCTGAGTTCAATCCCTGATTCTGAAAAAAAA